ATTTCAATCAAAGGTTATTTGCTAATCTAATCTTCGACTAAACTTCGAAAATATCTCTTATCAGATAAATGTATTGAAGTAAACGTCAAAGAGCTCCAACAGCTGGATTACGAATCGAATTCGACCGTTTCTATCTGGATGATAATTGATTTAACGATTTCAATCGCCTCTGTCTCTTTCTCTCCGTGAACAGAAGGGAAAAATCGTGTTTGTATCACAACGAGATTTTTCAACGACGCATCGTCTGATACATGGCCATCCTACGGAATTATCTATCTATCTACGAGTCGAATTTTCCTGCTGGATCTCGCGTTACGTATCATGGATCATATTTCACGGTTCATCATTGTTTGGCTTCAGCTAACGAGCTAAACTTGATTAGGTGGAGTAGGAGAAAGTACTGGCAGCCATGTTTGATCAAAATATCGGTACACTGTCCTGCAGACGACAGATATTTTACGAAGGAGAATGTTATATTCCACAGAATGTTATATTCCACTTTTTTTTCTTTTTTTAAGGAATTACTGGAAACTCGCGTAGTTTTATTATTACATTTCGATAGAGATGAGATATTTTTTAATGTCTCGAATATAACAGGCAATGTAGTATTCTTAAGAAGGTTAGGTTATGTCAGATCTTGAGTTAAATTAGACTCATAAAATTCGACGAAAATAAATTTACTTCTACTAGAAAAATACCGTGCAATTAAGGTTTGAAATTTTGATGTCTTCAAATTTAACGTCCGGCGATTTCAGCGATTGAAGCTGAATCAAGCAAGAAAGATTCGAAATTGGAAGTTTCGCGTCCAGTTTTAATACGACGTCCAAAAGCTGAAAACTTTTATTTCAACAGTCGGGAAATTTCGCTATTTAAAAATTGTAACTGTTTCCTTATTTGAGAAAGCTTAGATACCCGGGACTCCGGAGCCACGAAATTTTTATGATTTTTACAATTTCGGAGTTTCCTCGTTGAAGCCATCTGCAATTTCGCGTTCTCGATAATTTGAGAACTTGCTACAGCAATGGTTGGAAAATTTCAAGGCTGTAAAATCGAATTGCCGATGTTCCTTTAAAGAGTTAAAAGGTAAAAATATTTACTGACATACTTATTACATAAAATTAAATTTTTCATCGTAACTAAATAAAATGATGCACAAAAATATTGCAATTGTCTAACTGTGTGTCTCCAGATTGTATCAATCGAATTTTTATTTTTTTTTAATATTACATATTATAAATAACATATAATATTATATATTATAAATAACATAAATTTTCTTTAATTTTATAAATTTTTTAAATGTACATTCAATAATGAATTTCTCATTAACATAGATCATTACATGACACAAAATATAATTCGTATAATTTTAATTTTTATACCGACGATACGTGTGAAAGTAACAATTTCTTTTCTCACGATAAATCGTTCGAAAAAGATCGATTTGCTTCGCGCAATACACAGCTCGTTCGATTAAAATATTCAATCGAATTAATAAATACACCTCGAGGCGTTAAAATATCAAAACATTCAGTGAAATTAACGTATGCACAATATACGTTGAAATATTTTACATTAACATCGGTCAGATTCGATTTGTAATCCAGTTATTGGGCTTTCTGACGTCAATGGACGACGAGACGGATCCGACAAACGCGGAAATTCGTGGAACTGTAATTATTGATTCCATTGAAGCTTGACAGAGAACTCACTGACGTTCGAAATTTTTCTTCTATTTTTTTTGTTCCTTTTTCTCTGTCTCTTTCCTAGAGAAAATTCTCTTTATGAATTATGTATTCTGCACGTGTCGCGAAGCTGATTCTCAGTTTCTTTATTGCGTCATTATTTTGTGCAAAAGTCTACTTGACGCGTGGAAAATACAACATCGCCGGCATTTCTTTTTTTCCTTTTTATTTCCTGAGAGTCTGCCAGCTACACGGGTATAGTGGGCAGCATCATAAGTTTCGGCGTGTTGTAACAACGTGACTTTCACGAATTATCAAATTCGAGAGAAATTTTAGGGGGGGGAGGGGGGGAATTTCGTTTCATTCTTTTCAATTAATACATTATAGTAACACATAATAATACTACTACTTAATAATCTACATGATGATACTAATACTTTTCAATTAATCTACATAATTATATTTTTTTCCTGCTTTTTTTTTGGTGTTTTAGTTGAGTGAAAGGAAACTGCGCGAAGAGATCGTTCGGGGAATTTTTTGATACTATCCTTTGTCGTTAAATGTTGAGATTTTTAATTTTTTTTTATAGCAAATTTCAAATTTCTATTTCCAAGATTCTCCCCTAGTTTTACAATTCTAGTAAGAAAAATTCTCTTCCTACTGTTTTGTTACACTCAAACTTGTATCGAGACATTTAATAGAAAATATTTAAACACTAAAGAAGCACACTAAACATTGATCATCCAAAAATTTTAGCAATTTTCTTCCCTACAAACCCTATTCGAAATCACGTACATACTGGTCGTTGCAATTTTTTCGACAGCAAGGTTGGAAAACTTTCAACAAGACTTCTCCACTCTCTCTTGCTCTAAAATTCCTTTTTTGCATTTTATTTCTATTTCATTTCACAAACGTACATGTAAAAATATATGTTCCTTTTTCTTTGACTTTTTCTTCCTTCCTCCCTTTTTTGTTTTTTCTCTCGTCGGTAATTCCGGCACAATCGATGGAAACAATTCCATGAATACGAACTCGCCCTGAACCTTTCTCTTTTCAATTAACGCGTAAATCCGAAATCGATAACGGCCGCGGCAAACGAAATATTTTAGCGTCACAGCGTATAAACTGTTTAATACCCGGTTGCTATTTCACGTGCACGTGCACGATATGTATATATATTTGTTCGTGTTGGATCGGTCGACGACATGCGGCCAATTGAAATATTTTTCTAGCGTAGGATTTTCTACGACTGACGATTATATTATGTTCGAAAAAAAAAAAAATATATATATATATATATATATATATCTTTTATGGATTTACGGAGAAATTCACAGCATGATGAAGATTCATATCGACGAGTATCTTTTTTTTTACAAACTCTTTTTGTTCGTTTAATTCAGTTTCCAATTTTCATTCAAATTTGCGTTTATTCGTATCGGCGTTAAGCGAAATAAAAATTCAAAACTAGAAATTAAACGAAACGTTTCGAAAAGTTATTAAACGACGTGTCTAATTGAAGTATTTTTTTCTAGCGTAGGATTGATGTTATATATATATTTGGAACAGAAAAAAAGAGAAGAAGGAAATATCCTTTATGGATTTTTATACGTGGGAAGTTTCGCAGCGGGAAGATTTATATCGGGGAACGCTATTAAATATTGTTGTGTCTTTTCTTTTTCTTCTCTTTTTCCCCTTTTAATCTTTATTCATTTAATTCTGTTTCCAATTTTTATTCGAAATTTCATTCGTTTTCATTTTCGATTCGATCGTGAAACGAAATGAAATTAAAAGCTGAAAATTAAACGAACGTTTCAAAATGTTGTTAAACAATTAAATGAAGTTTAATGAAACGAAATTGAATGAACGTTGAACTTTCAATGAGATTTCCATTTATTCGGTAATATTTACACATGGAGTCGCGTAAATACTTGCTGACACAAAGTGATTATAAACAGAGGACGAAATTGTGCGCCAAATAATTTTGATTCTGCAGAAAACTGAGAAATTGGAAGATATGTGAAACTTTCCAAGTTAGACGAAACAAATTTCTACCTTCCCACACCAAGACCTACTAGATCTTCAACGACCAAAGCCGAAAGAGAAGAATGGAACAGAATTTGAAAAAGAAAATACACGACATAGTACACCATTTTTAACAAAAAAATATCAAACAACAATATAAACAGGAAAGAAAGGATAGCTATGACTAGACTTCGAATCGGACACTCCGAAATCACACACGAATACCTCCTGAACCAAAACAGAACCATCTTACTGCCACACCTGCAACACGAATGCAGAAAACACCGAAACCTAAGAAGAAAATACGGATTAAACCGCCCTAACCTGCCAGAAACAACAAAAAAACGTTATCAACTAGCTAAAGGAGACCCAACTACTACTCGACCAGACATGAAGAAAAAATTCCAACACGTCGCTAAAGATCTCGTAGTCGATGCGATTCTAAACCCCCATATAAAAAAAAAAAAGAATTTCTACCTGGCTTCCGGTTTTCTAGTCACGTTCACACGCGAAGATATAAAATTCTTCTCGGTTCCTATGATTATTAATTTATTAATATATTTGTTTCGTTATTAATTTATTTATTTATGATTTATTTACTATTTTTCGTTGTTAATATATTTATTTTGTTATTAATATAAATATAATATTTATTATTAATTTAACATAATATTATTATGAATATTTATTATTAATTTAAATAAATTAATAATAAATATTAAATAAATATTAAATAAATTATAATGTTTATTATTAATTTATTAATATAAATATAATATTTATTATAAATTTAACAGCGTTCCCATCGTTCTCCAAATATTTATTATTGTTCCAACGTTGTAACAATCATCCCATAAACATGGCATTTAAGTTTACATTAGAAAGCTAGATAAACCAGAAAGTAAACACTGAAAATAAAACGTTTAATCGGCGATACCGTCTTTAATTACCAATCGATCACGCGAAGTATATTTCTACGCGATCACGCGAGAAATAAATCAACAAAATCCGATCAAACGGAATATGCGAACCGACAGGCGAAATTAAACAAACACGATAAACAAACGGGCAGAAATCAACGATAAACGAGAGATCGAATCACGTGAAATTTATTTATTGGCTGCGAAATTCCAAGAAACTCGCGACTCGGGCGCGGCCTCGATGAGGAAAAATGGAATCGAAAACACGTGACTGAAGTAGCACGAGCATTAAAACTACGTATCTAAAACCCGATTCCCTTCCGGCCCCGCTGTCATTAGGCGTGTCGAAACGGCCACGGTTATCGGATGGAATTCGAAACATGTTTTACCGTTCGATAAGCCGACACGCTGCCCGATGACAATCGAACGGTGACAGCCAGTCTGTCGTTTTCATTCAGCCAAGACACGTAGTACTCTGCGGTCACACGTTCCCGAGTAACACATCTGTGAGTATATTTCAAGGAGTACTTTAATAGAATTCAGTAGAACTGGCCGGTGACTAAACAGACAAGTGACAGATTTGTTTCACTAAACAGATCAAGCTTCAGTGTTCTCTATTTTTTTATGATTTTCATATTTCTTTTTCTTTTTCTTTCTTTCTTTTTCTTTGTTTGTTTTGACTCTTTATCGTGAAAAAAAAATTGTCCCTACATCGTGAGAATGTGACTTTTTCTATTTTTTGCGTTTTGTTTTACAGTTTAGAACAGTAGGTTATAAAGTAGAAAGCGAAATGGAATACTCGGTGAGAAAATAATGGAATTGTTGATGACATTATTATGACATAATAGAAATGATTTGAATTATCGATAATTGAGGGAAGAACTTTGTTTATTTAAAATTTCATTTTTTAAATATAACTTAATATATTATATATATTATATACATTTATTATTACAACTTGTATATTATTGTTGTTGTTGTTGTATCTAGTATATTATATTTATCATTAGAACTATAATACCTCGGAATAGAAATCTCGTTCGTTTGCTGTTTTCCCTCTATTGTTTGAAAGCTCGTGTTTTAAATTTCGCGAACTCGAAAGCTGCAGCCACGTGTGGCATACTCAATGAAAAATGTTACTCGTACACTCTCCTACAATTAAATCTCCTCCAGTATTCCGCCGATGACAGCATTTTATTTCCCTGTATTTTTAAAATTTCATTTCCTCCCCCCCCCCCTCCCCCACAGACCATTTTAAATTCTGTAAACTTCGAAAATTTCAGAGGCGTCAAATATTTGACAGAACAAAGTTTCATTTATTCGTCCCCCCCATTCAAATTAAATCTTTTTTCGGATCTGTGAAATTGTGAATGTTTTATTGTTCAATGTTTTCATCTTTCAAACTCTGGCTGTAATTCGAAATTACAAACATCGAACAACTTTCAGGAGAGATTCATTTAAAATTACTCCGCAAATGTTAAAAATGTTATACTTTCATATGTACGAAAGGTACGACAGATGTTACAATTATAAAAGTATAACAAATATTTTCGCACTTGCTGAAAATTATATGTTCACACACGTGGGCCAAAAATCACTTCCTACTAAAATAAACTCTAACTTTTCTAAAATAAATATTTATTTAATTTTAAATAAATATCCTAAATCGCATCTTCTTTTTATTATTTATCATTTCTAAAGATCATTTTCGAAAGAGACAATTTTCAAAACACGATAAAAAAAAAGTCACGTTTCAACTTCAGTTTAATTTAAAGTTGACGAGATTAGTTTTTCTTTTATATTAAAAAAAAAAAAAAAAAGAAAGAAAGAAAAAATAAGCGGGACTACTCTCATGCTTAACAACGAAAAGACCAATTTCTACCTAAGCTCCACTTTTTCAATCGTATTAAAAAAAGAAGAAGAGAATTGAAAGCTGCATGAAGATGTCGCAGCCTGATTGCAATGGATGCAGCGGCTCCGGCGCGCAAACGCGCTGAATCGCGTCCATCGTTAAACAACTGAACGATCGAACTCGAACGGACACGGGCGAAAGAGATCTGAGAATCATTTTATTTCCAGTGATCTTTCCGGTCGCAACTGAATCACTGAAGGCAATCCAATATCTGCAAAACTACTTTCCAGAGAAACTTGATTCGCGCTGAACAACAGTCTGGCTCGAGAAAAAGACTCCCACCTCCCAGAAGATTCTCAGGAAGGGAACTCGATTCGGAGTTTAAACAGGAGGAGAAGCAAGGGTAAGAGTCAGCGAGTCTTCCAACAGAAGAAACTCCGTAGCGGAACAACTAACAGTAATTATCAAAATAAAAATATTTAGGTCGGAGTGTATCACTTGAGGGAACGTTGTGATTTATTTATTTGCAAATCCGTGCACAATTAATTTCGATTTTTATACGAGGCATATCATTCAGAGAAAATTATATTAATTATTAGTTTTATAATTGATATTTGTTATTAAAATAATCTTATAATTAATATTTATTATTAAAGTTATGTTAATTATATTAGTTTATAGATTTTTAATTATATTAGTTTATAGATTTTTAACTAATATAATTAATAGCTCAGTCGATTTGTGACTAAAGAATGTTATTAAATCACGTTTTTAATAATTAATTAACGAGAGTTCAGTCGATTTTCAAATGAACAATGCTACCGCGAGAAATTACATTGTTAATTAATGAATGTTCAATCGACTTGCAAATGAAGAATATTGTCACAAGAAGTTACGTTATTATTCAATGAAAATTTATATTATCGATTTATACAAGACAAATATTGCTTGAGAAAATTACTTTGTTAATTAATGACAATTCAGTCAATTTACAAATGAAATCATCGAGATTCGTGAATGAAAAAAAAAAGTTACACTATTAATTACTGAGAGTTCAGTCGATTTGTAAATGAAAACCATCGTTAGACAGAAATTGAAAGAATTATCATTAATTCAGAATGGAATAGAATTCAACCGATTTGTGAATGAAAGAGTTACAGTTATTATTAATTAATGATTCAGGTTTGATTTAAGTTAAGCAAATGGTGTTAAACAAAACGATATCGTTAATTAACGAGAATTCGTTCGACTTGTAAATGGAAAATGTCATAAGGCCCGAAAGTGTCATCCACAATGGCCGACAACGAGAACAATACAGTAGAAGAATGTGATAATGGCAAGAAATGTTCTAAAGACGAGAAACATCCGAATGACGAGGAACATATGAACAATGAAGAACGTTCTGATGACGGGGAACGTTCTGATGACAAGGAACGTTCTGATGACGAGGAACGTTCTGATGACGAGGAACGTTCTGATGACGAGGAACGTTCCGGTGATGAAGAAGAAAATAACGGAGGCGACAGGAGATCAGGTCGAAATAGACGACAAACAATCAACGTGCCATTGAGACGCAGATCTGGATATCGTCGGGACAAAACTGGGAAATTTCAAAAAGTCATTCGCGACGACCACGACATGCAATAGAGTTTCAGGTAAATTACTAAGAAGATAAAAACGCTGTTAGTTTCAAGTAAATTACTAGAAATTTAACCACAAACTAGAACTACCAAAGTGGCCAAAAAAGAAAGAAGAAAAAAGAAATGTTAAATATCGATAGTAGCATTAACACTTGGCAATTAAAATTTCGAATCACGATTAACGAGCATTAACGTTTGATAATATGTTAATTTAAAAAAGAAAAAAAAATAAATGGAACTTCGAGGAAATTCCAAAAGGCGAAAGGTTATGTCCAAGTGATCCAACGAAAAACGAGTCGCCCGTTTGATTCAACCGCCCGGAATAAATTACCATAGACAAATATCGTATCATATTTAGATCGTACGGTGATGGTTCCCTCAAGTGCACCTAACCTCGAAATACAGAGCGACCCTTTTGAACGTTGGCGTAGATCATTCTTAAACCGCGTTTCAACCGCTGAGATCCCATTGTCCCTCGGGTGGTGGGGAGGAGAGGTAGGGTGAGGGGGAGGGAAGGGTGACTTTCGCCCCGGGGTGAAACTAAGAAATGATAAGTGGCAGCGACAGCTGCAGGGGATGGGACCGGATTGGCCGTGAGCCAAGACGTGTTTAGCCACATTCCCGCGAGCCGTGGGTCACTGGCGACCCACACACGAGCGGTGTCGCGATCATTCCCAATGCCAGATGAATCTTATTACCGAAGGCACGCCTCGAATTATTATTACTGGCTCATCCCGTAGCCAGAGTGGTCAAAATGATTTATAATTCCTGTGAGCACAACAACAAACTTTTCTGTGAACGCGAGACGGTGCATCTTTAGAGATTTGAAATGAAAGATTGTGTAAAGCGTTGCCACTGATTCTCTATCATTTCACTTTAACGCCTCTAGATGGAAATTTTATGCTTCTGCGCGCGCTACGATTAGATGCATCGCGAATTCTAGGGAATTCTATTGGAATTTCTATTTAAAGTGAAAGAGCCTAGTGTGAATTTCAGAAATTACCTCTCGGTGTTTTCTTTGCTTTCTTTTTTGCTTGGTTTCTTAAGAAGGCGCGTGATTCTGGAAATTCTGGAGCATTTGGGATTGTGCTTTGGATTTCAAGATATTTTGAAATATTTATTTGGAAATTTGGCAAAGTGAAATTTGAAAGAACGTAAAATATTAAATTCTATTTACTTGGCTTTCTTTTCTTAGAAATTTGGCAGAAAGAGAGAGAACTTGACTCAAAATCCCCCTGATTTTGAAGATTCCGGATTTTTTTTAAAAGGAAATTTCAGAAAAAAGAGCCAAGTAAATGGAATTTAAAATTTTATGTCCCTGCCAAATTTCCAAGGAAAAGAAAAGAAGGAAAGGAAGAGGAGAGAAAAAAAAAGAAACGTGCGTCGAAGAGAGTAATTTTTGATTCGCGAATGTGTTCCAGCAGAGCATCCCGCGAAAGAATTCTCAGTGAAATCACACTTGGCTTTTAATCTTCCTCCGACCCCTCTGGCGACCGGAAATGGATTCCCCCAACGCGAGACAACCCGAAGAACGTCACTGGGAATTTCTACGAGGAACGCGCGACATCTACCGCCCTCGCATCAAATTAAACTGTATTAAAATACGAAACCAGCCAGAGACCATTAATTCTTCTTTTTCCCTTCAGCCTGGCAATGCGAACATAAATATTCGACGAGTATTATCGTGTCCAACAGCGAGAACAAAACGGCCAACTAAATGACAAATTGCGACAATAAATCGCAAATTACTTCCATTCAGTTCCTTGCCAACTTTGTAGAAAGAGAAAATTCGTCGAGTGAATATTTCATCGGATGCTTAAAACCAAACTTGTAAGATTATTCAGTCTCAGAAGAAGTAAAGAGAACTGTGAAATTGCATTTCCTAATTATGTTTTCTTTCGACTTGTTTTTTATTTTAACTGTGCACGTGAAAATGAAAATTCCTGTTGCATAAATAAAAATGAACGTGCGAGCAATTACTTTTGCTTAATTCTTTGTCGACTTCGTAAGAAGAGGAATTGCCAATTGAATTTTTTACTGATTTCGCGAGTGGAGAATTAATGTTTAAATTGTTTTAATTGCGGCTGGAATTGGATTTCTCAATTAATTATTGTAATTATTATACAATTAATCTGTAAATTACTTCTGTTCAATTCTCTACCAATTTTTGTAAACGAAAAGCGTCGCTTTTGTGCGTAGATTTCTGAAATCGATTTGTAAATTATAATTTCTATTATACTTAAGAAATAAAGGAAATTATCAATGAAATTCAATGCTGTTTGTAACAGTAATATAATATATAATTATATATATATAATAGTAATATATAATAATTATATATATATAATAGAAATATAATAGAAATATAACTATAATATATAATAATTATATATATAATATAAATATAAATATAAGCAACAACTCTAAAATACGATGTTAACGCGTAATTATTAAATAAATTTATTGCCAAGTTACAATTAATGTTTGCTACTAGTTATTAATTACATTCGTCAAAATATCATACTCGTTTAAGTAAATCGTAAACTCAAATAAGCCTCGATCAAGAAACTGCGTTCAAATACACGTATAAATTACAAAAAACAACAAGGGAGAGCAATCGAACGAGCAAATAACGGCAATAAGCCGAAATTTCAGCAACAGATTCCCGTCGATAACGATAATGGGTCGCCCGGCTCGAAAATTAATCGAACGATAAAACCAAAAAAAACAAAAAAAAAACGATAACATCGGCGCACGAAAACGTATCGAATAAATTCGTCTGCAATGATCGTTACTAACATTTAATCATTACTGTTAACTGTTATTATCATTGGTGTTATTTCCCGTATCTGCGACAATTGAGAAGAACATTTCTCGAGATTTGTTCGAAGCTCGAATGAAAAAAAAAAAAAAATTGCACATCAATGTTCGAGCGGTCGTTGTAAAGGTTTTTGATCTTCGAACAGTCACTGGATTCAGTCACGAATGAAATTTTCAACGTGCTTTTACGACACCATGACGATTTGTAGGATTTTCAAGACGAGGATACGTATGTCTTCAACGTGATCTGAAATCGTCTCAAATGTGAATATCTATTTTAATATTATTAATTTAATATTTCAATATTATTGATATTATTAACATTATTTATTATGAATATTTATGATACCTTTAACAATTATTTTCACAAGCTTGTAATTAAAAAATAAAAATTAAAAAAAATTAGTGAATATTTTTCAGAACCTTTCGAAAGCTTTCGTCGCTTTGTGCTTCTATCCGAACGGGCGTTTAATGAGATATTGCATATTACGTAATTATTTTCGACGTGCGGTATAATGGTGGAAGCCGATATTCGATAAAATGGCATCTGCGAACCTCTGTCGTATTCCGCGTTTCATAAATAAGATAATTATTTTACTCTTCGGTGTCAGTTTATTCTCACAGAAGTCTGTGCAGTATCGATCGGCAACAGCAGGCCATGCATCAACAGTCCCAGAAACGAAGGAGAAGAAACTCTTCTCCCCCAGAAATTGATGATTCTGACAGGTACCCTCTCTCAAATAATTCGCCGGTTTCGGTTTCATTCGAAAAGCACGGTTCGAGCTCGAAACGTGCGGCTCCTCGCTCGAAAACGTGACTTTCGTGAAACGAGCCCACTTTCGCGGCGGTTCGGTTGACGAATGCGTAGCATTGAATTAAAAAAAAAAAAAAAAAAAGAAAGAAAGAAAGAAAGGAATGAAAATGAAAAAAAAAAAAAAGAGTGAGAAACACGAGCAACCGACAATTGCGAATTTTCCAAATACTGACGATCGGCTGTGATTTGTTTCGTTACAGGGTGTCGGAGAAAAAAGAAGGGGCGGGGAGGAGGGGAAAAAAACAATCTACCACTCGACTAGTGCCGATGAAAAGCAATAAAATTTCAACGATAGTGCCGGACGGATTTACGCGCCAGTGTAGTTTATTGGGATTCGTGTTTAAAAAATATTACCGATTTCAGCTGTTGTTATGGTGGTACGGAGATTGATACCGAGCGTCGAAAAACATACATTTAACGAATGTTTTTATTATTTATATATTGAAACTGCCGTTGTGTGTCTGAGGTAATTTAATGTAACGTTTATTATCTAATGTTCTATTAATATATGAAGATATATAAACATATGTAGGAATCCCGGCTTGAGACGCCAATTTGTAGGAATTTTGATAAAAGATAGTCGTTTATTTCAGAAAATTTGTTTGATGATGATTATAAAGTGACGTTTTGCACTATTTTCTTAATTGCTAAACTCGCTAGACTAACAACTCACTATCTTTTCCCTTTCAAGGCTCGCTCACTCTGATCTCTCTGACATCTCAACACTCGTCTTTGTCATTCATACACACAAACGCATCCATACCCTTAATGTCTTAAACGCTAGGGCTGGAGGGCTAGCCACAAACAATCCCAAGTCCCAAGCCTAACTTTCTCTACAGTTTATGGTACGTCACTTGAGACGTTTGCAATTGTCGGGCACTGGAGAGAGTTCTGGGCCTTTTCCCAGAATTTGCCCATCCCACACATATACATATGTAATGCAAAAATTATATTTATTAGTTTATTATACGAATTTCACGTTCAATTATTACCAAACCAATTATTACCTAACCCAAATCTAACCCAAACCTAACCCCTTCGAAAATGCCATACACGAATTTCCATTTCAATTTCAGATTCTATCGACCATTCCAATCTAGCAGAATTATACAGACGAGTTTTAATTCAATTCAATATACACGTTTCCTAACCACACAGAATTCCAAATAATTCTAATTTATTACTTATCAACCATTACAATCACTGAGTTTTAAATTCAACCGCGGGCAATTTTCGCGTTCGATTATATCAATTCCCTTGGAAATTACCGAGAGAATCCTGACAGATTTCTGCACAACTTGGCCGCCGAGTTGATCGAGTCGAGAACTGTTGATTTCCCTCCCCGTTTTCAATCTCTGTACGTTCCCCTCTCCCTCTACCATCATTAAATATCACCGTATGTTCCATCGCATGAGTTCATCAACAACCAGGTTCATAAAATATACAGAGCCAGAGAGATCCAACTGGGAAATAGTTCGATACGCGGTAAAATGAAAGGAGGATTGTCGCAGCGCAGATGCGAGGATATTCTGGCTGGCCGGTTGTTGCCGGTATTTCAACGTCGCGTGACTTCCGGGCTCGAGGAGGCTTGATTGAAACGCGAGTGTGTTGTCTGCGGTTGCGTTCCATCTTCAATTCTCTCTCACTCACTCTCTACCCTACCCTACGTGCATACGTCTGTAGTACGCCGAATTCCTAAATAACCAGCGCAACCTGCCAGATATTATATACGTACGTACAATGTTTGGTCTTTGTTCGTTTCGGTGATCCGTTGTATAATCGGCGAGAGCAGGCGTTCCGTTTTTGCAACTGGCGAAACGTCGTTGCGGATGCTCGCGTTATTAACCTCTTCCACGTCGAGAATGTTTTGTTCCAAAATTGTAATATTGTTGGATGACCAACCCGGACAATATTGAATCTATGCAAATACTGACAATGAGCTAGCAACAGTCCACATAAAAGTGGGCTGTGAATAGTTAGTCATAAGGACAAGATCCAATAGTTGGTCATCTATGCTTCTTCCCTTTCCAATTTGACGATGATAACCAAATATATATATAAGGACATGCTTTAGAGATATTCGATAGCATAAAAGATTCTAAATCATTATAGAGACATTCTATATCATTAAGAGCATAAAACATTCTGAATTATTATAGAGACATTCTATATCATTAAGAGCATCAAACGTTCTGAATTATTCTACATCATATTCAGGAGCATTAAACATTGCAAATCATTCTACATCATTCTATTTCATGTGAATAGTTAGTCATAAGGGCAAGATCCAATAGTTGATCATCTATGCTTCTTCCCTTTCCACTTAACGATGATAACCAAATATATATATATAAGGACATGCTTTAGAAACATTCGATGACATAAAACATTCTAAATCATTATAGAGACGTTCTATATCATTAAGAGCATAAAACATTCTGAATCATTATAGAGACATTCTATATCATTAAGAGCATCAAACATTCTAAATCATTCTACATCATATTCAAGAGTATTAAACATTGTAAATCATTCTATTTCATGTGAATAGTTAGTCATAAGGGCAAGATCCAATAGTTGATCATCTATGCTTCTTCCCTTTCCAATTTGACGATGATAACCAAATATATATATATAAGGACATGCTTTAGAGACATTCGATGGCATAAAACATTCTAAATCATTATAGAGACGTTCTATATCATTAAGAGCATAAAACATTCTGAATCATTCTATATCATTAAGAGCATCAAACGTTCTAAATCATTCTACATCATATTCAAGAGCATTAAACATTGCAAATCATTCTATATCATTCTATTTCATATACGACCACGACTATAAGGGAACAAACACTACTAAATTGTAAGCGTGTTGACTCCATTACACGGAATCTAACAATGTTTTCTCAATTTTAAGTATATTTAAGTGAAAGAAAATAGGGAAAAGCAAATGATAAATTTAGTACTTCTCGATAATTTTTATCGAGTGACATCGTACCGACGAGTTCGAGAAGAAAGCGACGAATTATTCTGTACGGTTTGGCCGCTCGTTATGGTCCGCAATCGGTTGCTGTTAACCTCTTGCGCTGGAATGACATGCCACGCACGTCAAGAACCTTTTGTCCTAAAATTTGCTTTTATTTTCTCAGTTTTAGAGTAACAGAACACTATAGACCTACCAAAGTGATTAAAAAATGATAATTGCAATTTCATTATAAATTTGTAATTTCATTGAATATTTCAAATAGATGCATATTGAAACAGGGTATTTTTAGAGATTTAAATGATTTTTCGTAAAAAATAAAAGCTTCATTGTATCATACAATTTTTCATTTCTTCCTTTCTTTTTTTTACTTTGAAGTCTCTGAATGGAAATTTTACGTTTTAATCGTCGACAGTTCTAGCGCTAAATACATCTTAAACGTCGCTGAAACGTCGTTAAGGCTGTTGGATAACTATGCTGGATAATTATTCATTCAACGTGCGTGTGACAATCTCATCTAGATGAAAAAAGAGAAAAAAGAAAATAATTCGTCTATCTCGATTGGGCAAGTACTTTATAAACGACACTTGCCCCGGT